TTAATTTGATATTTTTAGACAGTTATTAAAACTTTATAATATAGTACGTTGTTACCTGAGAATAATATTAAATAAATGTGGTGTAATATTTGGTTTCCTTAAAATAAATTTTCCATCATTTTTTTCTGCCCATTCATTAGAAAATGCCGTACGGAAATATTTTGACCTAATGCATAAAATACTTGAATGAGCATGGATTTCTTTAACATTTGGTTCTTCTCCAGCATAAATAACAACATCATATCCTATTTCAGTTTCAAAAAGTTTTTCATAATCATTAGATAACTCTGTCAAAAATTTTGAAGACATTGTAAAAACTTGAAAAGAGAAAAAGTATTTGTCATACGTTTGGAAGTAAAAATTAAGTGTAATTTATGTTGATCTACATGTGACTTAATTGACTGCGGTAAAATGGGCGTGAATTCGTAGATCAATTTATTAAGAAAAAATAAAAAATCTAAGTTCTAACCCATCTAACATAATGATAATTTACCTAACATAATGTATAGGTAGGATTTAAAATAAACCATAAATTATAAATATATAAATCTCGATCAATAATCTCACATTTTGATATTCGTATGAGTGAAATTCATTATATATTGGAGTAATTGGACTTTGTAATCAAGATCTTTACATATTTGGATCAAATATATAAATAAATAAAGCTCGAAAGTGAACAATATGGAAATCAAATTCCATTATTCAAAAAATTATTTTACAATTTTCATAAGAATCAATGTTTATATAATTATATTTGTAATCATTATAAATAGTCTATCAGTTGTTAAAGAATTGATACATCAAACAGTGAAAATGAAAACGAAAATTTAATATACTCATTTGTTTATACGAAAATCATGTACAAAATAAATCTCTTTATATATTAAAGGATCTAGTTAACCCTGTTTATAATTATTAAATTTTCATTTCTTTATAGTAAGCTTGTGAAATTGAGGCTGCGTAGTAGCTATGTAGCCGCTATATATATAAAAAGTAGGAGGCGTATCGTTACTATAACATAGGATATCTATATAAAATACTTGGAAATTACTATACAGTAGATAATCCGATAAGCTTATGTAATAAATATAGTTTATTTAAAGTAAAATTGTAATATAAAGTAAAATGTAGTTTATTATAGTTTATTTAAAGTCATAATCATATTGTATCGACAATCTAAATCTTTATTACATCTAAATTATATGTTTTTTTCGTTAAACATTTCGTTAAAAACAAAAGTTTCGAAAATAACATATAACACCTTATAGTACACCTAAGAAATACAAGATAAACAAATATTAACAAGTGTTTCGTTCGAAAAGCAAATTTTTGAAAGTCTTACTTTTGAACTAAACTAAAAGTAAACTAGTTCTTGCCTATGTATATTTGTCAAAAAATTTGATAATTAGATATCTTTGTGGCAGCGCTCCCAAAACCTAAAAGAGAAAACTGCTAAAACCACTCGCTGGATAAAGTTCTTAGATTAGGAATAAAATTACTCTACAACTTACTAAAAAAAAATTTCCGAAGTAGTTCAAAAAGTTAAAGAATTAGCTTTTAAATGAGGAGTAACTGAAATGTGGATAAAAGTGAATTGACCGAAGCAAAAACTTATAAAGCATTAATTTAAGCGACAGATTGCTAATTAAAGGATAGCAGATAGCGATAAATATTGAATGATGTTTTCGCATATTTTTAAACTATCCCACAAATTAATGTTAATGTTTCAAAAATCAAAATATTACTTTTGAAATTCCGTCAAAAACCATCAAGAAACAGTTTTTAACCTATAACATAATTTATTAATATCAAATTTTCATAATATGAAAAGATAAAACTAATAATAAACAAATATAAAAAATTCTGGTAATATGTTTTTTCCACTATGAAATTCCTTATGAAAATATCCTAATACATATAAATTTTTAAATAAAATGTCACTAAAATTACTTGAAAGAACAAAATCTTAAATAACATAATCGTTATAATTTTTTTTTAATACTATAAAATTTAAGTAACATTACCAAATTCCAATGTGTTTTAAGCTATTATTAAAATAAAATATTAATTAAAATTTAATTTTAAAATAAATAATACAAAATAAATATGTAAAAAAATATACCTTATAAAATAATCAACTGAAATATTATGAGATCCATTGAACCTTATCGAAACAAATTTCATGGGTTCGGATACTCTTCTTTTCGAACTTTCATCATGTTGTTTAATATATTTTGTTTTACCATCAAATCCATGTTTCTGAATATGGTTTGACAATTCCGCCTTCACCAATTTGTTTTATATCTTCAAAATCTATCAAATGGTATCGATTCAAGAAATTTATCGTAAATTATATTTTTAATATAATTATTTTTACTGGTCCATTCTTTTATCATGCATTTAATAATATTTCAGTTGAGGACTTGTCCATATTTATTTTTTGTTACATTTTCGGTTGGAAAAAAAATTTTTATATTTTTTTTCAAATCAATAAGGATAAAAAGAGAAGAATTTAGTGGATTTTTACGGAATAAATAAGGTTGATCCGGATAAAACGGAGTTACTGATCCTGATCGACAATAATTCGGGCTTAACAAATGCCGGTAAATCCTAATTTTTGTGTCACCTAAATAAAAAATTTTACCTCGAAATTGTTACCATTCACTTACAAATAATCGAGAAAAAATAAAATAATTATTTAATTCATCGAAAAAAACTCTTTTGCCTAACTTTGTAAAAGAAGTAATTGATTATGTCACCAGGAAGAAATATTTTCGTTCGCGTTACTGTATACACGAAAAAATGTATTAAAATAACCAATTTAATTTATGATAATGGCGTTAAATTTCACGGATAGGGATAATAATTTAGTTAAAATTATTAAACTTGCTAGTTATTGATATTGATAGAAGTCTTTTACGTACTTAACAAATATTGTTACCTACTGTAATCATAATTCAAGATTTCGTAACGTTGACTGATGCATAAGATTTTATTGTAATCACATGATGATCCAAATTATGAGTACATGTATGTTCAGATAAATTGAAACGTAAGCATATTGTATATTTTGATATTTTGAAGGTAAATTTGGAAAATTATAAAATAGACGAAATTAATTTGATTTTACTTATAGCCCAAGAATGGAATTTTGAGTAAATCGTGTTTACTTAATATTGGATATAATATAGTTGCTGTTAAAACATTAAGCATTTGAAGTTAAAGAATACATTATATTTAGTTAGTTTTTATGAAAAAAAAAAGAATACAGATTTATAATAAAATAGCTTATTTACACTCATCCTTTCTTTTCCATACTAGATTACGGTGAGTGGGTTTAAAAATGTAGTGATGTAATCAATATTCGTTCGATTTATACCTGGTTTTTATCCTAGTATTCAAATATACTATTTATAAAAATGAAGATAAATAAATTAATTATATTGTCATTCTGTTATTAAATAATTGATCTAAAAATTGATATTATAAAAAAGTAAAAATAGATTGGTGAAAATAATTTCATCCACAATAAATTATTAATTAAAACGAAATATTATTTTGTTTCATCATATTACTTTTATGAAGAGAACAAAAATATCTCTAAAAAATTGAAGGCTTAAAATTCACAAGTTTACAAATTCAGAATTATTATATCATAGATCTTTGTGATAACGAATAATAATCAATCACGAAATTTTTGGAGTAAATCTAAAAATAAATTTATGATTGTATGTGATTTATTAATTTAGTAATATATTTATAGCTACACGTTTAAAAATTATGATTCTAGACATATCAAACATGTAAATACTATAGGACCCGAAGTATACTTAAAAAGATCAGGTTCGAATTTGCGTAGAGCCAGCAAAAAAAAAAAATCATGAAACCCTTTCCTTTTATAGATAATTCTTGATGGAAAACTATTACTTTTTTTGGCACTGACCGAAATTATCATAATTCCGGCCTATAAAAAGTGCTCAGACCTTTACACATTGAACTATTGTTCGCAAAAAAGTCACGTTGTTTTGTGTAGCAGACACGAATTCCTATGTAAACTGAAGTCGATATAAAATAATTTGATGTAATAGTCAAATTAGTGACTCTCTCTTCCTATATAATCTTTACTTTTTCACCTCTTTTATTCCTAAAAAAAAAAAAATGTCAAAATTAAATCATGATGTTCTTTATGAAATTTTTCAAAATTTACAAGACTTAATTAATATGACATATTCAAATGATCTGGATAATTTAAATAAAAGGATAAATTATAAAAATTTTACGTTCTCAGCTTTCTTGTTCTTTATAAATTATTTGATTGTTTTTTTTGCAGATATGGAAAGTTATGGATTACTAATGACAACATAAATTTGCACCGAAATCATATATGAATTTTTTGTAGTTGACGAGTTAAGAATTTAAATTAGAAAAAAACTCATTTTTATTATTTACCGCCGTATATTCACAAGATTGCAAAAATTTAGCTTTCAATTACTGTATTTTATACTAAAAGAAAAACAAGAAAAACATAATAAATTAAATATATTTAAGATCACCGTAAATTTATGAGTTTAATGATGAATTTTAAATATACCTTCAAAATTTCATCTACTATTAAATCAAGCTGTCATGTAAGATATTGTTCATTTGAGGTAACAAAGCAAAGATTTATGGGATCATCTTACCACACCACCTGTCACAATACTTTAAATGTGGTAGTACAGGTGATATATAATGCAGTGACAAATAGAGATAAGGCCAGTAAAAAAAACTGTCCCTCAGAAACATAATAAAAAACGTAAACAGGTCAGCACGTGACGATGTGACAAAAACATCACAGGGGTGGTGTAAGATGATTCAGATTGATGTTTCGATTGATCGATTTGATCGTCATAACGAAGTCATGTGGTCATGTGCATGACATGCTAATCACCATAAAAGTTACATTTAAGGTTAATTTTTACTTCCAATCATATGACAAACTCTTTTATTCTTTACATTTTTTTTACAATGTCTTCAAAATTTTTGGCAGAGTTATCTAGTGATTATGAAAAACTTTTTGAAACTGAAATAGGATATGATGTTATTATTTATGCTGGAGAAGAACCGAATGTTAAAGAATTCCACGCTCATTCAAATATTTTATGCATTAGGTCTAAATATTTTCGTACGGCATTTTCTAATGAATGGGCAGAAAAAAAGGATGGAAAATTTATTTTGAGGAAACCAAATATTTCGCCACATTTATTTAATATTATTCTCAGGTAACAACGTACTATGTTATAAAGTTTTAATAATTGTCTAAAAAAATATAAAATTAATAATTATTGAATTATATTTTAAGGTTTATTTATTGTGGAAATATTGAATTGGAAAATTTACAAGGACCAGATGTATTGAAATTTTTGATAGCTGTAGATGAACTCAATATTCAACAATTAATTTCTCATATTCAAGAATATTTAATTGAAAATCAAACTGAATTTTTATGTAAAAACCCAACTAGTATTCTTGAAATTGTTTATCAGCATGAGACATTTACTGATTTATGGAATTTTTGTCTTGAAAAAATCTGTGATGAACCTAAAATTTTGTTTGACTCTGATAAATTTTTTGATCTAAAAGTACCTTTATTAGAATTATTATTAAAGAGAGATGATTTAGATATGAACGAAATCGAAGTTTGGGAAAGTTTATTGAAATGGTGCTTGTTTCAACAAAACATGGAAAATGATCCAACTAAATGGAGTAATGATGATATTATGAAGATTGAGAGATCATTATATAGGTTTATTCCATTAATTAGATTTTATAATATTGAACCTGCAGACTTTTTTTACAAAGTTTATATTTACAAAGAAATCTTACCAAAAGATTTAATCCATGATCTTTTGGAATTTTATATTGTTCCTAACGTGAATCCTAAAACTAATATATCACCTTCAAGAAAACCAAATTTAAATTGTAAAATTGATTCAACCCTAATTCAATCAAACCATATTCCTCTTTTTGCTTCATGGATTGATAGAAAAGATTCCTTCTATAACAAAAATGAAATTCCTTATGAATTTAAATTATTATATCGTTCAAGTCGGGATGGATTTAATACTAAATCATTTCATCAGAATTGTGATAATAAAGGAGCTACTATTTGGGTAGCAAAAATTCAAGATTCAAAACAATTAATTGGAGGATATAATCCACTTGATTGGAATGGAAATGGTTGGAAAAGTACTAGAGATAGTTTTATGTTTAATTTTACAAATGGAAAACATATTTCTACTGCAAAATTAGGTTACGTTAAAGAACTAAATTATGCTATTTTTTGTGCTAATAATCAAGGTCCACGTATGGGTTATTTTTACTGTAAAGACGATAGTAATAAATGGATAAATTATAAAAATTCTACTTACTGCTATCCTGATATAGGTATTCTTCCAACCGAGCTTTCAGTAGATTATTATGAAGTATTTCAAATAATTAAAAAATAGAAATAAAATTTAAACATTCAGTATTGCTTATTATATAAATAAACGAAATTACTTGGCAATTTGCAATTATGCTAATGAATTAATTTATAATAAAAAATTTAATATTTAAAATGTATCGATTATAATTTTGTTATGACTTTATGTAACATTATGGTTTCGTTACAAAGTCTATTGAATCATTATTTGTTATTTTGTCATAATTTAAATGGGGTATTATCAAACAATCGAAATATAAAAATAAAGTTATAAAATTTATAATTTAAAAAATATACTCATAAATAAAATGATGCATTTATCAAACTTCGTATTTATTTATTTTCTTTCTTTTTATCATGATTTTTAATAATGACCGAAGATCCAATTCTGGGAACAACTTTTTCATATTCAATCTATACATCAAGCTCAATCAAAACTTATTCAAAGTACTGCAGCTTTAAATTGAAAATAATTGTACCGAACTTAACCTAAACTGTTGATAATTTAGTATAATTATTAATTATTATCTAGGATATCATTCCAGAAACCGTCGTGAGTCTAGTAAAGCTCGATTAGTATGATTTTACGTCGATTGATAATCATCTGATAGTTTGATACAAAACATATTTGTAAATAACTAAATAAATAAACATATAATAACGATTATATGATGGTAATAATGAACGCATTAGAATTGATAATGAAATAAAGTGGTGTTACTAAGTTACATATAAATATTTTTCCAATAACAAACTGTTTATAATAAATTATTTACAATAATGATTGTATCAGATTTGCTATTTCGATGCACTAAAATAGAAAGCTAAAGTGATAAACTTTCCGTATTAGAGATTTTTAATAGTCTAAATATTATTTCTCGAGTTTAAAAGTTGTTTCATAAACGTATATGAAATAAATCTTAGATTCTAAACATTCAAATTGTTATTACAAATATACATCAAGTATGGTTTGTTTTGCATTTATGTTTGCCATTATAAATATTACAACCTCTTAATGCATTATTGACTGCTGCAATAGGATTACAGATTTTCTTGTAAAATTAATAATTGAAGACAAGAAAAATATAATTATTGGCGAAAAATAAAATGATTATGCGGGAAATTTGTTTGTTGCAGCTTTCCCTATAAAAAATATTGTCCAAACACTGTTCGGTTTTTTGTTCGGAAAATCGACCCGTTCCGAACATTCACTTGACATTTATTGGACATTCATCATGATATTGTACGTTTTTTTATGTGGTTAAAATTCTCAATCTCTGCATCTTGTATTAAATTGTAACAAATATTATTATAATAGCGCGCGAGTATCCAGAAAATTGGCCCATTCCGAATATTTATCGGACAAACATTTTTTATAGGGCTTTTATTAATATGCTCAACAAAGAATTTATTTATTAGCAATGTCAACGGCGAAAGTAATTTAACGTTATAACCAAACGCATGGAATATCAAATAAATTAAATTCAATGTATCGGTATATACTGTACGTAAGTTGAGATGTAAGAAAATTTAAAGCTTGAAACAAAATTCAATTTTAAAAATAAAAAAAAATAAAGGTAGAGAATTATAAAAATTTTATTTAAATATTATATAATGAAAAAAAAAAAAAAAAAAAAAATAAGAAATCTAAATATCATTTACATCAATCTTAACATTTTAGTAAATAATACTAACCGATCATTTAAAACGAATATCACCAAAATCCTATATCAAAAGTACTCCTCTTCTTCGTCTACTTCCCCTTCACTTTTAGTTACAAATTTAATAGTACCTAAATTTTCATATTTTTCTATTACTTTTAAAGCTTCAAAACTATTATACCCACAATATAAGTGATATTCCATATTCCCAATAATTGTAAATGGAAGTTCCCCAATAATTATAAATGAAAGTAATTTTTTTGGCGTCCTCCTTTCCCAACACATAAAGAATGATTCTAAATCATTAGGAGATGCATCTGAACATGTAATATGATGGTGTATTTTTAATTCACGAAAATTATTTGGTGAATATCTTGCAACAGTTTCCAGTACTTCTTTTTCAGATAAACAATCTTTACCACACCGAATTTTAATACTTTCTAAGTATTGACAATTGATAAGTATAGTTTTTAATATATCTAGCTCACCATCATTAAATACTATGAAAAGACTTTTAAGATTTGGACAAAATTGAGCAATAGATAAACTTAAATCTTTGTCATTTTCACTTGTATAAAACTTTTTAAGATTCTTTCCATTATTTTCTAAAAATTTTATTACATACTCAGGTTTTGGACATTTATAAGGAATTTTTAAAATTTGTAATTTTGGAAAATTAACATATTGTAACCTTCTAAAATCTTCAAGTACTCCATCAAGGAATGAAAATAACAATTCTTGTAAATTTGAGAATGAACTGATAAATGAGAATGATGAATCATCATCACTACGAAATTTTAATTTTGTTATTGTATGAGAATGTTCTGTTATGACAGGTATAATATCATTCCAACTTCCACCATTAAAAGCTGATAAATTAAAATTTTTTAAATTATTCTGAGAAGATATTAATTCTTTTAACTCATCTTTAATACTACTACTAAAATCTACGGAAATAGATTGTAAATTATGACATATTTGAGTTAATTGATAAAAAAAATCCGAAGGAAGATCTGATTTACAACATAATTCTGAAAGATCGCTCATTCCAGGAAATTGAGGAAAAGAAATATTAAATTTATGGTTGTTATAATAATAATGATGGTAATAATTCAATTTTTTCAAAGAAGGAATTTGATTTGCAAACATTTTGATAATTTCATTTACAACTAAACTATTTTTATCTTTTGAAATTAACGATAGTTTATCTTTGAGGACACTAGCAATCATCCTACTAATCCCAAAAATTGAAAGAGTTTTGAAAAATGATGCATAATTAAATAACAATGGTTTTGAAGTAGGTGGTGAAATGGAAATTCCATTATTATACAAGAGATTTTTTGACTCATCCGGAAGACAAGCAATTAAAGTACTAAGAATTGATGGATATATATTGGATGATTTCTCATGATATATGAAATCAAAAGTATTCCTCCACAAAATTCTAACGGAAATTTTACACCAAAAACGATTAACTAACAAACATGTGTATAAAGTGAATTTATCTGTCTCTAAAAATTCAATAATCTCTTCTAAACAATCAGCTGGAAGTTGACATGCCATTTTATTGTATTAAGAAAAAAAAAAAATATTATGAACTTTAACTATAGCGGGTGAAAATAACAAACATCCGGACTCCGGAGTTCATTGTATTTAAATTGATTCATTATTGTGTAACAAAATTTTTTGTTGATCGGTATAAGTTTAGATCATGTGTTGCAATGTGATTAAAATTGATGTTACAATTGTTACAGTACATCCGAAAAGTTCACACAATTAATTTTATAGTTACACAGTTTTTTGTGTCGATCTTGATTTAACGCCAACACTACTAAAAAAATTATTGCTTAGTACTTAGAATTTGCTTTTAGCTTGTGATACAAGTCATCACATAATTTTGATATTTTAAAGATACACAAAACCAGGGATTATATAAATACAATTGATATAATAAATCTGAAACTAGAATATATATTATGACTATAAACAACATCAAAGAAATAATTTTTGGAGATCAAGAAACTGATATTAATGATATATAATTTTTTTAAAATATATATGTAAATTTCTAATTACAACGTTACAATCGTTACATTAAACTGTTTTAAGCTACTAATTTGTGATAGCTTTATGATAAAAATTCAATGGAAGTCACTGCAAATTGTTAATCCTTTGAATGTATAAAGTAAAATTAATTTAAAACGACAAAGTTGAAATTGAAGAATTTGGAATAAGTCAAGACCAGGAGAAATCGTTTAATCAACATACATTATTTAACATAAACTAATGAAAAGATCAATTCGATTACAAATTATTGTAATGTTTAAATCAATGAAAAAAAAAATAATGCAAATTAATTATAGTCTTATATTGCTCTAAAACGTAGTCATGTACAGACGTATAGACTTTATTGTTAGTACCTCAAATGAAAACATGCCCGATAAATATCAAAGAGTAAAAGAAAATGTTTATTAAGGAAGAGATATTAAAAATATATATATATATTAGAAGATATAGTAAAAAAAAAAAAATATTATTATATTAATTCAGATCGATGGAATATGTAATTGTACATGAATGGCGATAACTGGATAATAACTAATAACTAGTTAGTAAACATTTAATACAAAGTTTATAGTAAAACATTTCTTTTTATATAGCGTTGTAGTGAAATCAATATCACGACAATTTATAACATCTATAACATTATTTGTATTTGAAATGGAATATAAAATTTTATTTTTATTTTATTTTATTTCTAGAAAGGAGTGAACGTTATCTATTACATTAAAACATGCGCATACAAAGCTACTACATAGACTATTCAGGTAATTGGAACGAGATTGAAGATTTTGTTGATTATGTAGTTTATATTTGGAGCGTCGATATTTAGTGAAAGAGGATTTTGTAAGGTTGAACTGTTTCTTTTTATCTTTCCGCATAGTTGATCGTTCTTTCCATATGGATTCGTAGATAGCTCGATGAAAATCAAATAAAAATTTGATCAGTAATATTTTGAGAAGAGTTTTGCCTATACCAGCCACTATAAAGGGATGTAGAATTTCGCGTGGAACTAAGTTGAGAAGTAAGCAATGTAGATGAGGAGCATCATCAATTGTTGCTAGTGTAGAGTCAGTCCAACTGAAGATTTGACAAAATTTAATGGCGTCTTCGTAAAGCGCGAAATATCGATCAGAATTATTAACTATAATGATTTTAAAAATCTCGTGATGTGTTTTAAAGTAGGACGGAGTATGTCAATAACTTTGGGACAAGCCCAAAGATGAAGATTGTCTTCAATTTCGTTGTGAAAAAAAAACATGAATTAAATTCACGTAATAGATCCAGATAATTTCGATTGAGTGCATCCAGGGTAGGTAAAGAATAAGTAGAACATTTGATTTTTCAACTAGTAAATCTACTGAGTTTGATTACTTGTAGGACGATCAAACGGATTTATGTTTTATCCAAAGTTGTGAGAATTCCCAGTCTATAGTATGATCAAGAGTGAAATGTTTGATGGTCGAAAGATTTTTGAGAGTTATATGAGATTCTAATATACAATAATTCAAAGGTTTTTTTAAGGTTTTTCTTATGTCGCGATCAATAATGAATTAATTCATCATTGAAAGTGAGGTAACAAATTTGATCAGGAATGCCCAATGGAGATAAAGACAAGGACGGAGAAATATCTCTTCCAGATTTAGCTAGATGGTCCGCAATATCATTGTAAGTATTATTAGAGTGAGCCTTAATCTTGTGAAGTTTGACCTTTAATTTGAGTGTAGAGATTATATATTTAATGGCTTGTCATAACAAGACATTATTCATCTTTTGAATCGACATGGTGTTAATTTGGGCAAATATAGGTTGTTGAACGTGTAAATAGCGCAGTTTGAGTCTGTATAAATGTTGACCGTACTATCAGGAGGACAGGTGATTAAACAACTCATGATAGCGTATATTTCTGCGGTGGTAGAACTTGCCCAATGGATGCATGAGCCATGATATTTGATGTCTAGTGAGGTGTCTAAAGAAAAAATCCAACCAAATCCCATCGTGGTCGCATCGTCTTGTTTAAGTAGTGATCCATCTGTATAAAATTCTAAGTTATTAAGAAAATAATTGATAAGAAATATAAACAAATTTCAAATGTAATGAAGAAGGAGAAATAAGAAAAGACGAAGAAGGTGTAATAGAATTAGTTTCATGATTAGGTGAATGAGAATTGCACGTGATGAATTAAGAAAACATGAGTGACGTAAATTATAATCCGTAAGTGCTATAGCACGTAATGTGTAATGTTGTTTGTGAGTTTTATATATAGTGATGTGGCAAGGTGTTGTGGGAGTTTTAAATATAGAGGTGTTGTATTATAAAGGTGTTATTGGAAGGTTGTAACGCGATACAGTTGTATCGTTGTCGATCAGTAAAAAATTCGGTATTCAAAGAACATCAATTACATCGTTGTAACAGGCTAGATAAAGATCGAGGAGTACGTGTATTGTCTATAGAAAATGTGTTAATAATAGGGATAAAATGTTCGAGGAAAATGGAATATAAAATAAAAAAAAAGGTGAATTGTTAAAATGTAAAAAATTCCAAGCCGAATATGGGAAATTTAAGAGGAGTGTATAATGAGAATTTTAATGGATACCTAGATGTGATGAAATCACAAGAATAGAACATGAAGAGGGCATACAAAAGATAGATTTACGGAAAAAAAGGATCAGAATGGATGATGATTTAGCATCAGATACAGAAAATGAAAAATTAATTAATAAAAATACAAAAAAACAAAAGAAAAATTAGATAAAATAGAAAAAAGAAATTTAATCAAAATATTAAAATAGTGACGCTAAATATATTAATAGGAACGGCAACGGAAGGATCTAGTATTAGTAATAGATGGGATCTAACGGTCAAAAGATATAATTATTAGATTTTATTACATAATTAGTTCTTTTTTTTGATTATTAGTATAGTTATTCAATTTTATTCAATTTTATTAGATATTATTTAGTATAGTTATTTCTTTATGTGTTTTGAATACTTAATAAAACGCGTTACTATTTTTTAAAAAAAAAAAATGTTAAAAATTCCCACGTGACAATCGTGACATGTGACATTGCCGGCCGCAGGCCGCAGCAACAGATCACAAATTTTTGATTACTAATTGGATCACAAAATTTCTGCAATTGTAACTCCTGTAACTCCGAAGTGTTACTTAAATTCATACAAAAAGGATCGTCATAATATAAATTATCATTTTGCATTTGTAATATTTGTAATTCATAAAACATTTTTAAAATATGGATAAAGAAAATGATAAGGATATAGTTGTTAACGAAATTAATATTTTAAATTCCGAGGTTTCTGATAATTTAATTAATGAAGATTTTGACTTAGAAATTTACAAACAACATGTACTTAGTCAAGAATATGGTTTATGTATTGAATGTAATCAACAAAATACATTTGAAGATTGGTGTAAAGATTGTTGTTCAAAAAAATTTCAACAAAATTTTGGTAATTGGACTAGCGAAAATGCTTATATAGATAAATTTATTCAAGAATCACAATTAAATGCAAGTGATAGTTTTGAATTACTTGAATGGATTCCTTATAATAAATTAAGAAATATTCAATTTTTAGCTCAAGGTGGTTTCAGTACAATTTTTAAAGCAATTCGTTTGGATGGATGGATAAATAAATGGGATTATGAAAAACATGACTGGGATCGTATTATTGAGGAACTTGGTGAACAAGATTATGAAGATTCAATTAATCCAAAAACTAAAAATCCTCTTAAAATTAATGAAAAATACGGTCTTCCTGTAGTACTTAAAAGTTTAAATGATTCTTCAAATATAAATGATAATTTCTTAAACGAAGTAAGCGAGCAGTTAATAAATAATAAATGAATATTATTTTAATATATAATACAGTAACTAATTTTTATTTTCTTTAAAATATAGTGGAAATTACATTTACAATGCCAATATAGAGCAGCATTATACGGTTCTGTTCTTGCACCATTAATGGGAATAACACAGGATCCGGATACATTTAATTATATGATTGTAATGATGAAAATGGAATCTAGTTTAAGAAGTAATCTATTAATATCTAAATATAATCCAAATGATAAATTTAATAATTTACTTTTAATTTCAGCACAACTTGAAGCCATCCATAAATTAAATCTAGTTCACGGAGATCTTCATAATGGTAATATACTTTGTAATGGTTTTAATTCAGTAAACATTAGTGATCTTGGTTTATGTAGGCCAGTTAATCAACCTCATATAAATAATAATATATACGGAGTTCTTCCCTATATGGCACCAGAAGTTTTACGTGGGAAACCGTATACAAAAGCTGCTGATATATATAGTTTTGGAATGATCATGTGGGAGATGACATCAGGAATTCCAGTATTTCATAATGTTCCTCATGATTTAAACCTTTCTTTAAATATTTGTAGAGGTATTAGACCTGAAATTATAGAAGGTATGATGCCCGAATATGTTGAATTAATGAAAAGATGTTGGGATAATGATCCTGAAAAAAGGCCAACTGCTGAAGAATTAGAACAGTTTTTTTTTGAATGGGACAGAAAATATCCAACAGAGGAAAATAAAGAAAAGAGAATATCTATACCTGGTAAATTAAATAAAATTTTAAAATTTAATTTGTTTACTATCTTACTAATAATTTTATAGAGAATGAACCGGAAATTACATACCATCCGAAAACTTATTATAAAAGTAGAAAAATTGATTATTCAGCCAAAATTAATGAAATATTACAAAGTGAAACCTTGGGTATGTTTCAACTTTGTTTTTCTAATTTAATACAAATATATTATTACTGTATGATGAATTTTATTCTATTTTACACTAGACATAACTTTTCACAATTTAAAAATTTAATAACTAACATTAAATTTTATAACAGCAGATTGTATAATTACTGAAGAGGAAGCAGGTGTGATTATTATTATTTTTAAAAATTTATATTTTGAGTTAATAATAAATTTAATTTTAAATTTTTATTACTTTTTAATTAGCTGCACAAGAATTTAGTGATTATGAAGAAAACTAATAAAATAAGTTAATATAAATTGGTGTAATTTACATATTAAAAATTGATAAAATAATTATTTAAGTGTATTTATATTAATCATATACAAAATAAGTTTCAATATATATTATATATCTGTATTTACTTTGAACTTGAGATGCAAAATTTTTGTTATATTAGCTATATATGTTGTTTGACAAATGACGCGTGTCAGGTGTTAATTGATATCTGACGCACGTTACCTGCATCGTACAATAAAGCACTTTTATTGATGAAATTACTTTTATGACTTTACTTGAAAAACTTGCTGTAATTTATAAATAATTTTAAATAAAATGTTTTTCATCATACTGTACTGTACTGGCTCCATAATATATATAGTATATATAGGACAAGCACGGTACGGTACGGAATTTTTGGGATTTTCGAAATTTGATCAACCCGATACAATAACTTCTATTTTTTTTTTGTGTAAAATATGGATTAATTAAAAAATAGTAAAAATTTTTTATTGGATCTAAAAATATTTTTATAAATATTCGTAGCTATTGTACTATATAAATAAATTTTTAGCATACTTAATACAAATTAGCAAAATGAGTTTTTTACATCTATTTTACAATGAACAATTTTAAAGTTTCGCAAATGTTCAAGTTGATAGTCTATCAGGTGATCTCTTAAAACCGCCGATGTGAATTTTATACTAAGCTTTCTAAATACCATATTAAGTTATGATAGTATTAGTTAATTTGTATTCAATGTAAGAATTTCTTGAGCTTTTTTTCGATAAAATCGTCTGGCTTTGCTCAGCTCCAAGCCACCTTAAGGCTTAAGGCTTGGCTTAGCCATTCTAATCAAGCTAAGCTGGCTTAAATTTTGGTTCAACACAGCTGGCTCGCGTGGAGTTTTATTTTCGAGTCCAATAATCTAATCTGCTAAACCCTTAAGAGAAATTTACTAGGACAATAATAGCTTCTTTTTCTTCTACCAATCCATTTCCTCAGTAACACTTCGAAATAAAAAGCTGTAACTTTAAATTTATTATGGTTTATACGTATAGCTTGATGTCTTGATATTAAACTAAATCATATAAAGATAAAAAATTTAAAAACTTTATTTTGCCTTTTTTATTTATGCATATGATAAAATAATTAGAAACTTAAATTAGAATAGATACTGTAAATCATAAATATATTGAATTGCTACTTACTTTACTTAAGTTAAATTTATTTATATCAACAATTTTTAAATCTTCTCGTATTTTTTTAGGATAGAAATAATACATAAAGAATTTTATTATATTAAAAATATAAAATAAACGAGTATACAAGTTCATAATATTGTCATTAAAATTTAAAATCCTGTTTAGCGTGATTCTCACTAATTTAATCACGTAAAAAAAAAATGCCATTCCATTAATTCGGAAAAGCAAAAAAAAAAATATAAAATAAAATAAGAACAAATCAAATATAATATTTCAAAAAAGTTAACGCTAGACAGAATTTTAAACTGTAATAGTATAAAGAAATGAAAAATATGTTTATATCAAAAGTGTTATACTGCAAATACTGCAACATTGTTAATATCAGTAACACTAACTCAAATTATAATTTTTATATAAGACTATTGCTGCACTTTTACATTCTCTACTTGAATCTAAAAAAAAAAATCAATAAATAAAACAATATATTAGTTTAGATATGGATAAAAACTATTAATAATTCTTAACAAATTGAACAAATTTACACCTTAATTAATATTCAATTAAGGAATATCAATTCGACAACATTCTAAAGATTCTATTTAATAAATATTAGTATCTTTAACAAATGATTTATATTTTTAAATTAACAAAATAACAAAATTATTAATTCATACCTGAAAATTTCTTGCTTATTATATTATCATTTTCTTCATAATAATCATCAGAATTTTTTGGTTCAGGAAGATTATTAAAATTCAGTAATCTACTTTCGTATGATAATCCTAAATTAGTTGTAGGTATGGTGCTAATTGGTGAATTGTTGTTAATATCATCTGCTTCTTTAATTTGTGCTTGTAATACTGCTGTTTGTTTATCACTTAGTTTATATAGCCATGTGTATAGAATATTTTCAATTTCTTTTGCGTTTGGCCGTTTTAATGGATCAGAATCTAAGCATCTTTTAATTAGATGTATAATTAATTGAGGTACTTTAATATTAAACCTTGGTCTAAGTCCTTGACAAATTCCTATTGCTAAATATTCATTATGACTAAAATTATGATATGGGCGTAATCCAGAAATTACTTCATACATAATTATACCAAAACTATAAATGTCAGCAGCCTTGGTATAATTTTTTCCTCTCAAGATTTCAGGAGCTATATAAGGTAAATTACCATAAATTAAATTTTCTGATGCATCATAATTTGCAGGTTTGCATAATCCCATATCAGTTATGACTGTATTATGTTTAAGCTTTAATATATTACCAATATGCAAATCACGATGAAATAATTCCTTTTCATGGATGCATCTAAGTCCAAGTATAGCATTTTGTAAATAACCAATCCTTTTGTCCCAATTTAATATACTATAATTTTTATCCAAATAATCTCGTAAACTTCCATCTTCTGCATAATCTAAAACCATCATATAATCTTTTGTCTTTGGATCCTGAGTTATTCCATAAAATCCAATAATAAAATAATTGTCTATTTTTCCTTTATTATGTAACATAATCTATATAAAAGTAAAGTTACAAAATATATTAGTAATATTGACAATTTCAAATTTAGCTATTTAAATAAAATTAAATTAATAAAAATAAATGTACCTCATTCATAAATTTTAATGTAACATTTTTTGAATTATCTAAACTTTTTAGAGCTATAAACATATTTTTATTATTTCTTTCCCAATTTTTATTATCTTCGTCCCATTTATCTATATATCCATCAATCCAATTTGCTTTATATATTTTGCCAAATCCTCCTTTTGTGATATATTTAATATCATATAATTTATTATAAGGTACCCATTCTAATACTTTTTTAAATATTTCATAGTTATCATGAACTGATAATTGAGTATCCTGGATAAATATATCAATATCATCATTACCACTAGTCCAATTTACAAAATTATATTGGAAATGTATTGCATTACATGATGCTTTATTACATTTTTTACATTTATCATTTAAAACCATCATATAATTATTTGTTTNGTTATCAAATTGTTGAGACATTTTGAAGCGACTGTTCGTTTGTCGACGCTTTTCTTTGTAGATGTTCCATACGCAAATTTGCGAATACTGGCCATGCGGTCATCAAAATTATCATTCATACGAGTAAAAAACTCCATAGCATTAGTACGTCTAAGGTAATGTTTCGCGGAGGTATTATGATCCTTAATGTCTTTAATGACATTTAACCTTTCATTAAGACGATCACGAGCTCTGATCTCACTGATGCGATCTTCATCTAAACCTAGCATATATGCGTTTCTCAAGGATAGCTGAATTGTAGAGTCTTGTAATAAAAGTACGGCATCTATATATTCTGATGCAACTTTACCATAATGTTTGTCAATAAGATTTGCGATATACCAATCCCTATAAGAGTTTTCTGATGTATCATCCCTGTCATTGTTGGCTGAAGAGTCTTCCTCTTCATCTGAGTTCTGATTGATGATACTGCGTAATGCAGGAGTAATGTGAGGAGGAAAAATCCTATCTTCAGAAAGATGTAAAAGAGCGCAGTTCTGATCGTATGGAAAACGGAATAAAGGAACGGTTGGGAAACGTCTAAATAATTTCATGTTAAATTTCAGATGAGGGATCTGTGTATAAATCTTTTGATACAGATAAAAAAGGAACTTCCTTTGATTCGCAAGTTTAATCTTGTGGCGAAGTTTAAGGGCCATCCTAGATTTAGGTTTATTACCATTGAAAATACGTTGACAAGATCGGTCAAAATGAGCTTTTTGCCGTGCAGCAGTACATGGATTAGAACTTAAAATACGAGAAAAGTTCTCGTAAATCTTGGTGTACATAGGACCCTGTCTCTTATACACATCTAGATGTGTATAAGAGACATGCATTACATATGCCATTACATTTTTTACATTTATCATTCAAAACCATCATATAATTATTTGTTTCTGGATTTTGAGTTATTCCATAAAATTCATAATCTGTTTTAATCTAATAAAATATAATATATCAGTAAAATAAGAATTTTAAATATTCATTAAATAATAAATTAATTATACCTCATTTATAAATTCTAATGTAATATTTTTTGGATCATTTAATATTTTAAACATCACAATCATATTCTTTTTATTTCTTGTCCAATTTTGATTTTTATCATTCCAATTATAAATACATCCATCAATCCAATTTGCTCTATATGTTTCACCAAATCTGCTTTTTATAGTATTTTTAAATCTATCATAAGGTATCCATTCTAATGCCTTTTCATGTACTTCATATGTATAGTAATGAACTGATAGCTGAGTATCCTGAATAAATTTATCAATATTATCATTACCACTAGTCCAATTTTCAAAATTTTGCTGAAAATTTATTGAATTGCACGTAAAATTACATTTTTCACATATATGTGATGGCTTAATTAGCTTCTTGACACTTTTTATAAAAGAATGCATTAAGACTTTGTTAAAATCATAAATGAAATTTGGGTTAACAAAATAAAAAAGAAAAAAAAATAAGGTTATGTATAATGGTCGTTTATATATCCCGATATCGCTTAGTTCCATATGACAAACGTTACATCTATAATTAGTTGTACAATGGTAGTTCATCGTAACTGATTAGTTGATTTATTTATTTATTTATTTATTTATTTTATGTAAAGTCGGAAGGACTATTCTAAGAGAGCATTAATTACAAGAATTGCGCCCAACATTTAGTCCATCATCTACTCCGAGGGGCAGACCCTAACTAATTATTATATACCATAGACTACTCCAACAACACGACCGATGAAGGAGCAGGTAGACAATTAAAAAGCAAACTAATTAACCCGTATTTTTCTTTCAACCATCAAGGTCGCCACCTGTAAATACTGTCATAGGTGGAATGATTCACACTGTTTGTAATTGTTAATATCTATCTTAATACGAACCAAAAAAAAAAATGAATTACAAAATATAGAAACTAAACTATTTCAAAATACGAAATTTAAAAATTAGGTCTATATTAGCGGGTAAGAAATCTTCTTCTTTAGTATCCCTACAATCGAAAGTACAAATTTTTTTTGTTAGAGGTGTAAGATCTCCATAATAATTATAATGGTTATGTCTGGCGTGACACTTTTTTGGGCGACGTTCTATTATTTTCGTGTCATCGGAGGTGTCACTGAGATCATCTTTTACGTATTGAATATCATTTGGGCGAATAATAGCGCGGTACGGTCTAAAGGGTAGTGTTCATCCCAGAATTGTTGTCCAAAATCTGTTATCAAATTGTTGAGACATTTTGAAGCGACTGTTCGTTTGTCGACGCTTTTCTTTGTAGATGTTCCATACGCAAATTTGCGAATACTGGCCATGCGGTCATCAAAATTATCATTCATACGAGTAAAAAACTCCATAGCATTAGTACGTCTAAGGTAATGTTTCGCGGAGGTATTATGATCCTTAATGTCTTTAATGACATTTAACCTTTCATTAAGACGATCACGAGCTCTGATCTCACTGATGCGATCTTCATCTAAACCTAGCATATATGCGTTTCTCAAGGATAGCTGAATTGTAGAGTCTTGTAATAAAAGTACGGCATCTATATATTCTGATGCAACTTTACCATAATGTTTGTCAATAAGATTTGCGATATACCAATCCCTATAAGAGTTTTCTGATGTATCATCCCTGTCATTGTTGGCTGAAGAGTCTTCCTCTTCATCTGAGTTCTGATTGATGATACTGCGTAATGCAGGAGTAATGTGAGGAGGAAAAATCCTATCTTCAGAAAGATGTAAAAGAGCGCAGTTCTGATCGTATGGAAAACGGAATAAAGGAACGGTTGGGAAACGTCTAAATAATTTCATGTTAAATTTCAGATGAGGGATCTGTGTATAAATCTTTTGATACAGATAAAAAAGGAACTTCCTTTGATTCGCAAGTTTAATCTTGTGGCGAAGTTTAAGGGCCATCCTAGATTTAGGTTTATTACCATTGAAAATACGTTGACAAGATCGGTCAAAATGAGCTTTTTGCCGTGCAGCAGTACATGGATTAGAACTTAAAATACGAGAAAAGTTCTCGTAAATCTTGGTGTACATAGGACCAGTAGCCTTGTTAGGGGGTAAAATTGAGTCAAGGTTGTGTGCTTCATAACGCGTTGTTACCCCTAGTCACGTGTAGAGTTACAATTTACTACGCCAGAAAATCATGTGGAAAATTAGGATCTACTGTGCCCAACTGTGCCAAGCCGACCTAGCCGCAACCTATTTAGCCTATTATTTTTATTATATTTATTATATTAATTATATTTAATATAATCGATATAATTATTTTATTTATCATATTTAATTTATTTATTACATCAGGAAGTTACGAAAAAAATGTACATTACATATACATTTATGCAAATCATATACATTGCAATATTCATTCTTTTTAATGTACAAGTAATATTTAACATTAATGAACATCATCAATGAAATTTTTATCATGATGTGCAGCATTTAATAATAAATATTCAATGTACATATCTTTGCTATAATAAAAATATAATTACTAACTAGTAAATTTCAGTTAGTATTGATCGGTATCATGTGATCAGTTTGCC